AAGTATTTTGTTGTGAAAATTTTGAAATTCATACATAGTTTTTTTTCTTTTTTCCCTTAAAAATTTTTAGATTTCATATTTTAAATTTAACATAATTAAAGGCTTATTGTCTGCATAAATAAAGAGATCAACAATTAAAAAGTGAAATGACCATAAGACAGCAGGAAAGTATGCAAGGGCTACACACATAATCAAAAGAAAATATGTTCAACTTCACTCATATCAAGTAAATTTCAAAATAGTCACAAAATCATTAAAACTATAGTAGTATATTTAAAACAAGATTTGAGAAAATACTGTATTTGCAGCAATATTGATATACTCAGGCATTTTTTTCTAGGAACGTATATTAGGCTAACAGCAGATTTTTCAAAAGAAACTTTACATGCCAAGAGGGATTGGAACGAAGGAAAAAAAATGAAAGACAAAAACTGCCAACTAAGAATATTTTACATAAAGAAAGTATTTTTAAAAACAAAGGAGAAATAAAGACTTTCCAAGACAAGCAAAAACTGAAGTAATTCACCACCAGATCAGCTTGCCAAAGGTGCTTGAGGGGGTGATACTTACAATAAGAAAGAATGCCATCATAAAAACATGTGAAAGAAAACATCAGTAGAACAGGAACAAAAGATAATGCAAATAAACAGAAGAAAAAAATTTAATGGTAAGACTAAGTTATTACTTCTCTATAATAACTTTAAATGTAAATAGACTAAATTCTGCAGGTTGTTTTCAAGATATATTTATTTCAAAGTCAGAGAGAGAGAGAGAGAGAAGGAGAAACACACACACACACACACACACACACAGAGATCTTCCATCTGCTGGTTCACTCCCCCAGATGACCACAATAGCTAGAGATGGTCCAGGTTGAAGCCAGGAGCTACGAGCTACATCCTGGTCTCCCATGTGCTTGGCAGAGTCCAAGTACTTGGGACATCTTCTGCTGCTTTCCAAGGCACATGAGCAGAGAGCTGGATGAGAAATGGAAGAGCCAGGACTTGAACAGGTACTCATATGGGATGCCAGTGTCCCAGGAAATGGATAATCTGCTGTGCCACAACCAGTGCCCATATGGGATGCCAGCATTGCAGGCAGAGGCTTCACCTGCTACATCACAATATCAGCCCTAAATTCTGCAGTTAAAAATACAGCCTGGGGGCTGGCACTGTGGCGCAGTAGGTTAGTCCTCTGCTTGTGGCACCTGCATCCCATATGGGTGCCGGTTCTAGTTCTGGTTACTCCTCTTCCAATCTAGCTCTCTGCTAAGGCCTGGGAAAGCAGTAGAAGATGGCCCAAGTGCTTGGGACCCTGAACCCATATGGGAGACCCTGAGGAAGCTTCTGGCTCCTGGCTTCAGATTTCAGATCAGATCACCCTCAGCCATTGTGGCCATTTGGGGAGTAAATAAGTGGATGGAAAACCCTTCTCTGTGTGTCTCCCTCTCTCTGTAACTCTGCGTCTTAAATAAATAATAAAATCTTTAAGAAAACATTCATTATAATCAGTGCTACTTAAAGTATAAAGTAAGAATGGTTCAACATATACAAATTAGTAATATAAGCAATCACATCAACAGAAAGAAGAATAAAAATCATTTGATAATAGAAAGAGAAAAATATTAAACTTAACATCCATTCATAAAAAACAAATTAGGTATATAGGAAACATACTTCAACATAATAATGGCTACACATGACAAGCTTACAGTCCATGTGATATTGAATGGAGAAAAGCTGACAATATTTCTTCTAAGATTAGAACCTGACATAGATGTCCACCATTACTACTCTTATTCAAAATAGGACTGGAATTTTTAGATAGAACCATTAGGCAAGAGAAAGAAATTAAAGATATACAAATAGGAAAGTAGTAAGTCAAATTATCTGTGTTTGTAGATTAAATGATTTTATGTATCTATCTATATATAAATATATATATATAACTAAAGGATCCATCACAAGACTTAGAATTCACAATTCAGAAAAGTGTTAGTATACATAATAAACCTGCAAAATTCAGTAACATGTTTATACACCAATAATGAACTCCATGAGAAACAAATTATAATAGAAATTCCTTCTGCAATAGCTAAAAAAGAGAACACCTTATAATAAATCTAATTGAAAACATGAAAGACATCTATAATTAAAATCATAAATACCAATTAAAAACTGCAGAAATACCTTTCATGTTTGTGGATTGAAAAATTAATATTAAAATGTTTATGGGGACTGGTGCAATGGCATAGCGAGAAAAGCTGCTGCTCGCAGTGCAGGCATCCCATATGGGTGCCTGTTCAAGACCTGGCTGTTCTACTTCCGATCCAGCTCCAGCTCTCTGCTACGGCCTGAGGAAGCAGTAGAAGATGGCCCAAGTCTCGGGGCCCCTGCACCCATGCGGGAGACTCAGAAGAAAGCTCCTGGCTCCTGGCTTCTGATCCGTGCAGTACTGGCCCTTGCGGCTAACTGGGGAGTGATCCAGCTGATGGAAGACCTCTCTCTCTCTGCCTCTTCTTCTCTCTCTGTGTAACTCCAACTTTCAAATAAATGAAGAAATCTTTTAAAAAAAGTTTATGCTATACCAATAAGTTTTACAGATTCAATAGATGCCTCATAATACTACCAACAACATTCTACACAAAACTAGAAAAGTAGTATTAAAATTCAGATAGAAGCACAAAAAAATGAAATAGCTATAGAAATACTGAAGAAAACAAGCAAAGCTGAAGGCATCACATACCAGATTTCAAGACGTATTACAGAGCCGCCATAACCAACACAACACAGTCCTGTCAGAAAAGCAGACACAAAGACCAAAGGAACAGAGTAGAGATTTCCAGAAATGAATCCACACAGCTGTTTGTTAACAAAAGTGTCAAAATATTTCTGATCAAGGACAGTGTATTCCATAGATTAACTGGGAAAACTGGATATCCACATTTGGAAGACTTAAATTAAACCTTTAAACCTCACTTCTCACCCTGTACAAAAATTCACTCAAAATGGATCCCATGTTTAAATGTAACCCTGGAAAATGAATCAACTAGAAGAAAACATAGGGGAAACACTGTTTGATGCTGGCGTAGGCAATAATTTTTGGGAGGATAGACTTCAATGCGTAATAAGCACAAAACCACAGAAACAGGTTATATGTGAAGTTTCTGCATAGCCAAGGAAATAATCAACAGAGTGAAGATACAACTGTCAGAATGGGAGAAAATATTGGTAAACTATTCATCTGACAAAGGAGTAATATCCAGAACATATGAGACTGTCAAAAATTTCAGCAACAACAAAAAAATGGGCACAGGATAAGAATAGACATTTCTCAAGGAAGAAAGACAAGTTACAAACAAATTCATAAAAACACACTCAATATCATTAACCATGAGGGAAATGCAAACCAAAACAAAAATGAGGAATCATCTTACTCCAGTCAGAATGGCTATTAATAAAATGACAAAAATAAATCCTGGTGAGGGTGTAGAAAAAAGTAAATTCTTATCTACTGTTGGTAGGAATGAAAATTAGAATTGTATGGGTAAAAACTGAAGGAAATGAAGGCAGTTTATAAGACACACCAGCACTCCCATGTTCATTGTAGCACAGTTCACAAAACCCAAGACATGGAACTGGGTGTCCATCAATGAATGCATGGGTAAAGAAAATATACACATAATGTAGGCCGGCGCCACAGCTCACTAGGCTAATCCTCCACCTTGCGGCTCCTGCACACCCGGTTCTAGTCCCTGTCGGGGTGCCGGATTCTGTCCCGGTTGCCCCTCTTCCAGGCCAGCTCTCTGCTGTGGCCAGGGAGTGCAGTGGAGGATGGCCCAAGTACTTGGGCCCTGCACCCCATGGGAGACCAGGGGAAGCACCTGGCTCCTGCCATCGGATCAGCACGGTGCGCCGGCCACAGCGCACCGGCCGCGGCGGCCATTGGAGGGTGAACCAATGGCAAAAGGAAGACCTTTCTCTCTGTCTCTTTCTCTCACTGTCCACTCTCCCTGTCAAAAAGAAAAAAAAAAAAAAGAAAAGAAAATATACACATAATGGAATACTATTCAACCACAGAAAAAAAATTCCCAGCAAAATGAATGGAACACAGGTCATTAAAAGGAATAAGCCAGATACACAATGCCAAATACTGCAAAAATATTTCAACCTTTATAGATTGAAGTTAAAAACATAATACTAGCTCTAAACTTAGAATAGTAACTATGAGAGGCTAGGAAGACAGAGGGAAGAGTAAATGGAGTGAGGTTGGATAGTGAGCACCAAAACACAGACAGCAATAATAGGTTCCAGTGTTCCACAGCAGGTGAGGGTGACTTGTAGTTCACAATAATGTATTATATATAAAGAACTGGAAGAAAAGAGCTAGTCATCTCCAAACATGAAGAAAAGAGAAGGAAACAGAAAAGCACTTGTTTAGTTTTTACTGGTTTACACTGGTGTGTATGTGCTGTAACCCCCCAAAAAAAAATGGACAAGCATTACATGTTAATCAAAATTTTAAAAATATTTTAAGTACATATTATTAGCTCCAATCTGTGCCTTGTTCCACTTTTGTTTCCTTTTTTTTAACTTTTATTTAATGAATATAAATTTTCAAAGTACAGCTTATGGATTACAATGGCTTCCCCCCCATAACGTCCCTCCCACCCGCAACCCTCCCCTTTCCCACTCCCTCTCCCCTTCCATTCACATCATGAATGTGACTGCTAGAAAATTTAAAATCACCTATGTGGTTCACATTATATTTTTATTTGATTCTAACAAAAAATCATGGGTGTTCTCTTTAAGAAAATTAATGACATTATTATAATATTTCCTGTCATTACCATTATGGTGAATGCATTTACTTAGCAGAGAAATTTTTGTATAAATTAAACAGTATTTTAACAGTGTCACCTTAACCAAAGGACGATTTCAGACTAAGGCACCCTTAAATGGCAGTACTGTTTGTAATGCCCGAGACAGCAGTTTCTGTACCTGAGATAAGAAGGCCTGGCTTCCAGTCCAGTTCCACAGTGCCTTTAGTGAGTACTTCTATGAGCTGTAAAAGAAAGACAATTAACTGTGATATTCCTTCCAGCTGAAAAAGTTTGTTCAGTCTGCAATTATGCACCTCCACTTGTTATTCTCTTCAATATGACTTAGAACAATTATCTTCAAACTTGAAGGTGTGTCAGAATTACCTGCAGGGTCACTAAGCCACAAATTGCTGGACTCCACCTTCAGAGTTTTGGATTCAGTAGGTCTGGGCAAGGTGAGAATTTGCATTTCCAGTAGGTCATGATGGATGCTGCTGCTGCTGCTCTGGGGCCCGCACTGGGAGAACCCCTGAGTACAGCCTTATCCCAGAGCCACTCACCCAGTGAGGGACACAGGGGATGCTAATTTCAGGGCAGAGTGGAATTAACCTCTCTTCAAGAGATGAATTGAAAATTGGGGATTTTTCAAACTATCTTCTAATAAGAATGATTCTAAGTTGTACATTCTCATCTCAAAATTAATAATAACATTATTTTTTCCCTGCTGGCATTTAGCCTTTCTTTTAAACAATTATGTGCTCTCAAGGGAAATCTCAGATCATATTCTAGATTTTTTTTATACTGACTTGGTTTCTCAGTGCAAAACGATATCATTCTTCAAAATATGAATAGTAGGCAAAGTCCTTACCTATAATCTTACATTTAATCTCACATAACACACATGCCACATCTTTTTCTACTAATGATCTGATGTCATTTTTTATTTTTAAAGGAAGTTCAATTATAAAAAGTGCATTTCTCTTTCATTTGCCATTTAAAACATTTATGTATTTGTATGTTAAGAAGTCTGCTTTGTGTTTTGGAAGAGTAAAATTCACTTGTTCTAATTAAATTTATAAAATTTGAAAGCTTCACCTGTTCTAAAATTTCAAAAATTTGTATTGTTTTGCATTTAGATATTTTTAGGACCTAACGTGCAATTTCATGATCCTGTGAGAATGCCATCTGACTGTACAAATGGGTAGTAGAACAGTGGGAATGTGGGTTACCTGTCCAGACAATGCTGACAGAAGTATCCTGCAGAGGATGGGAAATATAATTTTTAAAATAATGATGATAAAGGTGTCTACTGAGTTGGGAAAAATATGGATTTTTCTGTTGTCTTTTAATATGCTCACCTAGATTAGTGGAAGTGCTATAGCCAAATAATCATGGACCCTGTTCCTGAATTTCTTTTTTTTATTTTTCTAAAAAAAAAACACTTCAAATTAGGTGTTAAAGAGCTTTGTACTTTGATATTTATTTACCCTTAAAGATTCCAATCAAGCCTAACTTCTGTGAAAAATGAAATTGGTACATAATCTTCTGTTTTGTTTTTACAGATTAGAAAAAATATAAAGTGATCATAAGCATTCTTAAAATCACTGATTTGGAAACCTCAGGAAAACAACAAAAATTCATCAGTTACCCACATGGTATGATGTGGCCAGAAAAACCAATAATGAGTGGTTTTGTTTTTTTTATCTGATGTTTGTTTTATGGGGATGTAATCTATATTTCTGGCATGATTAATACTAAAGTCATTTAAAAATTCCTATTTTTAAGCTTCAGGGCTTTCATGATTATTGTCCCCTATCTTCATCATTAATAATGGCCATCTGTAGTTTCTTCTTTTCATAAGTGAGTGATTTTACTTCATCATCAGTATGTTCTGGGAATAGCACTATTAATGTTATATGCAGATAGAAAGTGCCTCAGGTAATTATGAAACCTATCTAAAATTTCAAAATTAAAATATTTCCCCAAGCTTTATAATATTCAAAAGCTCACTATCGTTTTTAAAAATTAATTTATTTTTATAATATTCATTTTTTCATGAATTTTATTTGATACATGGGGAGGAAATATATAGCTAGAGAAAGACAGAGATATAGACATAGACATGCTAGAGAGAGATTTTATATAGATAGGTAGAAAGAGAGAGAGACTTGCATTCACTGATTCACTCCCCCAAATGCCCACAACAAGCAGGGGCAAGCCATAAGATAGAAACACAAAATCCAAATCTCCCTAATGGGTGGCAAAAGTGCAATTTCATATCAATAACAGCTGTCTCCCAAAGTCTGCATTAGCAGAAGCTGGAGTTGGGAATCCAAGCTGAGAGTCAAACGCAGGTACTCAGTGTGTGACACAAGTATCTTAGCTGTCAGGTCAAATGTGCAGTCTCTTATCACCATTTGTGAGTTACAAATGCCCAATAAAGTATTTTTACCAGTAATGATTTTTTTTGAATCTGAAATACATAAAATCAGTAAAAAAAAAAAAAAAAAAAAGCCCTCCCTTTATCCTAACTCTGCTATTCTAATTAGCATCTCAGTGAAAGATAAACTTTATTACTTTTAAATGATGTATGGTTTTCCTGTTGAATTTAAAGAAAACATAGAAGTAAGGAGAAAAATGAACCATCTTTTGCCGGACAAAAGTATCTAGTGTCACAACTATTGCCTACACATTTTGCCTAAGTCCGCATAGTCCTCTAAATGCCAATCACTGTATCTTAATAGTCTGACTTCACTAAAGACTAAATTTGTGTTCTATGGAAACAAATATTGATTTTAATTCTGTATCTCATTTTCTCAAGTCTCTTTATTTGTAAAATCAGACATAACAATTAGGGCATATGTTCATTAAAATTAATTATGTTAATTAATGTTAACTAAAATTTCCAATTACTAATAGAAGTCACCCAAATCTTTCTGAACTGCACTTTGAAAAATAACCTACCGAGCTCTTTAAAGTCAAGTCTGATCTGTCCAGCTGTTCTCTCATCAATCAAAGAAGGTTATAATGTCACCCTCTATTGTCCCAAAGATAGCCACATTGAACTGGGCATCTGTGTTTACTATTTTTAAATTATTATTGCTATGAATGTCATCATTATTCTTCTTAAGAAAGACATGTACCTTTATCATAATGACAGCCTAGTTACCATTTGAAGTTAGGCCCTGAAGACTTAAGGGAGAATTCAAAAATAATTTAGAATGGTGCATCCACATCTATAGCAGGCTTTTAAAATTGGTATTGTGTATCTCTATGTTTTATAGATAAAACTATATCTCTGATTATGATTAGAATTTCAGCCCTTTCATTACTTATTTTTAAATGTTCCTCCCTATCATGATTATTTTCTATGATTGATTTGATTTAATAGATCTGGGATAGGACCCAGGAATTTATAGTTTTTGAAAACACATTAGGTGATTCCACTGTGTAATCAATTTGTGAACCCTTAATCACACAGGTGGGGAGATTAAAGACCAGAAGATGAAGTGACTTATCCTGTTAAGGTGCCTGAAATTTCACCATGGCAATTTACTGTCTCAAAACTTCAAGACTTCTCAATCTTCAACACTTAAATGGATATTTTCAAGAGAGACCATGTCAGCTAAAGGATAGTAAGATCAGAAGCTGCAACTCAGTTGATGTAACTAGACAGAGTAGAGGTCATGTAGTATGCCATAAATATATAGAATTTTTTGTGTTAAATGAAAAAAAAGATTCCCAGGGGAACAAGGAATAATAATGAGGTTAAACTTATTGTCACTTTTATTATTTCTCTGAATGTGGCATTGTCCCAGGAGATAGGTAAAGCATGGATTTTTATCATATTATAAGAGTATACAGCTAACAGTATAACTGACTTCCCTGCAATATGGTGTTATATAATTGTCTAATTTCCAATTTTAAATATTCGGGTACTTTACTTAAAAAAATCAAACCTAATTAAGAAAACTAGCAATAGGCCAAACATAAGAATAATGGAGTAAACTGTTCCTTCTTGAACTTTTATAATTTAGAAGAATATACCAAGTAATAGCAATAACAGAGGAGAATTTCTGAAAGAATTCATAGAACTTCTTATCCAAAATCCTTAGCCTAATTGTCAAATTCTTCACAGTCTGGCCAAATATTTTTTTCTTCAAATTGCTTTCTCACTGCTTGTCTGATACCTACAATATTCTCCTCATCAAACACCTCACAGTGTCCCCTGGTCATTCTTGCTGTTTATTTCAACAACATTTTTACACTTTCTCTTTGTTCTCTCAATCTCTTCATATACAAATGCCACCTGTCTTTCTAAGAAAATTGCAAATATCATTCCCTCTTCCACTCAGTGGAAGAGCTTAGTAACTTAGAACTCTTCTTCTTATGATTTTCACTAAGTCATTTATTTGTATGACATTCATAATTTCTACCCTCAACTATAGTTATTCCTGAACATTGTTTCTCCCACATGTCAATACTTTGCCCAAGATTCAATTGTTTCAAGAATAAATGACAATATGTGTTATTTATCAGATTTTCAAAATTTATGATTAAATTATAGCCATTTTCAATATTATTGAACATATTAGCACAAGTTCCATGTTCCATGCCCACCAAAACAAAGAAAAAGAAAAATTTTAAGAAAAATATATACAACTTAACTATGTCATTTCTAATCCACTTTTGACATAAATGCTATTAAGGTCACTAGTACCTATTTATTTTGGATGACTGTAAAAAAAAAAGTGAGTAATTCTGTTTTCCCATTGTACATTATGAGTGAATATTTTGCAGGTCCTTTCTCACAGCCTCACATTCTAGAGTTACAAAAATGAAATATAAAACTGCTATATCTTATGAATTACCATATTGCAATAATCATCCTTTGTTATATTTCAATCTTGTTTAAATATGATAAAAGTAGCAGAACCAATTTTATAAGTAATGAAAAATATTGCTGTTTAAAAACTTAATTTACAAATTAGTTTTATTTATTGTTATGTTTATAGAGATATTTTAGTTTAAAAATCAGAATGACAGAGACAGACAGATCTTCCACAAATGTCTACAACAGCTGGGGTTAGGCAAGGCAGAAGCTGGGAGCCAGAAACTCCATCAGGATCTACCAGTTGGATAGCAAGTCTTCAACTACTTACGTCATCATCTGCTGCTCCCCAAGTACATTAGCAGGGAGGCAGGTTCAGAAACAGAGTAGCCAGGACTCAAACAGATACTA